GAGTCTTCCTTAGGAACCTCTTTCTCTCTTGTAGACAATCACTTTACCCAAGTCGCACTCGACCTTGTTCGTGCACTTGTACCGTCACAGTACGATAGCTTGGATGAAGGACCAAAGCAGCCGCGTAATAGGGCGAATTCTCTGTCTTGCTGTAATATTTATCGAAGACTTCCACCCTTCCGGATCCTGGGGAAAGTTCTGGGTCTGATTTATATGAGATCTATTACACCATATTAGCGTTCACGTGAAGATATCAGACAAGAATGTATGTTACCAAAGCCTCATCAAAACATCGGATCAAGACGTCCATCGTGAACAGCACTTTATCAAGCGTGGCGTGATCCCCTTGCGTTGCCAGTGTTGCTCGTGAAAACGGTTGAAGGATCTCTTTAATCGTGCGGAGCCGAGTCCAATCTTCTGGTGATAGAAAATCGGCAGAGAGATCTGCAAAGTGATTCTTGGTGTAGGTGTCCAGGGCACCTGCAATTCCCTTCTCTGTGGCAACGTGCAGCATTTGGTACCAACTATTCCACCTTGTACGATTATCAAGTGGAATCCCTCTCCCTGCGAGCTCGTTGAATTCCTTGGTTCGTCCTGCGAACTTCGAATATTGATAACCAGGTTGTGGAGCTTTCCAAGTGGGCCGAGAAGCCGAAACTCGGCGCGCTGTTTTGGATTCCTTCAAGTTCTTCTCCGTTATCGTACTGTTCGCACCGTTTCGAGTCTAGAGAGCCTTGGAACAGGAACGCTTGAACTGCCAAGTTAATAATGTGGCCCATACATCGGAGACGGTGGACTTCGGGATCCCAATCAATGCCCTCCTCTTCCTTGAGGCATGTACTGAATGCACGGCAAAGGGTATCATTCGTACTCGAGTTATCACCCACAACACTACCAATGCGTCGCACAATGCCAAAATCTCGCAGAACTGGCATAAGAGTAATAAACTGCTCTTCTCCTGAGTGGTTGGCTACCGGCCGAAGAGCAAGGAGTGTTTTTTTTTCGTGCTTCTTGAACATGGTCGACAAAATGAGCGCAAATTCCGAGAAGAAGAAGTCGATTGGGAGAAGTCCAAATATCAAGTGAAAGATGGACCTTGGACATTGCCGACTGGAGCTTCTTTCGTACGATTTTCTTTGCAGATTGGAATTGCTGATCAATGATTCCTGGAATAGTTGAGTGGGCTGAGGGGAGAAAGTCCTTCGCGACAGGATTCAAGGTAGAAATGAAGAGGTGAAATTCCGAGATTCAACTATTCGGTATGGGAGGTTTAGTATGACGACTAACCAAGCTAGCGCTTTATTGATCTTTTCTTCGTCAAGGTAGCCTTTGAAGACCTGGGACTCAATCTCTGTCGCACGGCCCAGATCCCGCGCTTGCCCATAGAGTTGATCAAACCCTTCGATGATGGACGATTGAAGAGGAGATAAATTCTCTACGACATTGATGTCGTGCTTGCCCTCAAGGTGTTTTCGAAAATTGGTGGTAACCGAAGTGCTGTAGGGATCCTCCTGGGGACAATGAAGACAATACATGAGGCGGTTCCTGCCTTTGAACTCCGCTTCCCCTTTCACTGCCGGACGAGCATGTTTCCATGTTCCAAAGGCGGTTTTCCCTCTTGTATTGCGAGATGTAGACGTGGAAGAATCTGAAATAATGGATTCAGAATCGAAGAAGGATAACACAGACTCAGAATCCATCGTCGCGAGGTGATAATATGGTGTGGGTTGGTGGGGAAGATGATTTCGTGGATGTGGGGATTTTTTGCGGGGTTCAAGCCCCCTGGAATAAGGTACAGCAAACATGGGCTTACAACGATTACGGTGAACAAGGACTCTTGTAAATAACCCTGTGGGAACCCTGTTAGTGGCGTGGTTTAGCCAATAATATGGAAATACATGGATCCATATCCATACCTTTTCCATGCCATTCATGGAAAGGGTATTTCCATATTTAGATATGGAAAACCACCCTGATTGTGCTCCCTGATGAAAGCCGGACTGTAGGTGTTGGCGGCAAGTAATATGACAGGTGCTTGGGACTCTTCAAAGGTGTAGACGCCTTTTCCCGGCCCAGCAGCCTTGACTTGAAAACTGCGTTGAACATAGTGGCAATCCCGATGGAACCCTATGCAAACGTTGCACCGAGGTTTGCTTGCGTCGCACTTTGTGTGCTTTTGGCGACAAGATTCGCACGATGTAAATGGCTTCTTCGTCCGCAACACTTGAGGCGGCACCCCAGTTAAGGAAGTGTCGAAACGAAACTTAACCGGTATGAATACTCCCTCTTTATGAACCATTTTGCATAAAGACCAGCGATCACTTCTGCCTGCAGTTAGAAATGCCAGCATTATTGCGTGGAGCGTGCACTCACCTGCCGACCTTTATGAGCCGCTTCGGTAGGACTTGACGCCGCGTTATACTTAGAGGGGGGACGCCTTTACGTAGGAGAGGATTTTGGTGGAAGTGAAAGCCGGATGAAACGATGGGCTTGGAGAACATAACAACATCCATGCCAGGTCTTAGGCAAGGGAAGTGTCTGGGAAAAGAGCCACTGAAGATTGCTAAGGCAGCTCCAGGCCTTTTATACCCTGGCTGCGCGCTGAAAATGGTACCTCTCATGCAGCCTTGTCGGGACTTGGACAGGGGACGGTCGGTTTGCAACTTGTACGATTATACCTGTTCCGTGTTGGCGATATACCGTATCGATACACGTCACCGCGTAGTCTTCAACCACCTAGACCAAGCTGCTGTGTAATTTATTGCTTCGCACATCTTTGATCTACGGATGAGCGATTTCACTTTATCGACGGCAGTCTGGCATCAACGCAATTGCGTTGCGCTTCTGAGAGAGGAGACATCTGTGCCAAGCCGGTTCTCAACGAAGTCGCCGGCTGCTGGGAAGGACGGATGTCTCTACGAGGTTCAATGGTCATTTCTACCTCTGTCAACTACATATATGTAAGGCCTAATCATTCACTCCTTTCTATAAGCAGAGACAGCGACAAGACCATTCGTCCTTTCTTGAGAGCACCCTTGCGCGGACAGCATTGGCCACAAGACAGCTGTTTCAAATCGTGCGAAGCTTTGCCATAGCTCTCGCATGACTTAGATCGGAGCCAGACCATGCTTACAGCCTCAACTTCATATAATCCGACAAAGTTTCATCGACTGGCTGTGATAGTTAGTGATGTCCTGTCTGCATGGACGCTTGGGTGATTCTCACGACTTCTGGGTCGCCGGGATTTCCCATGACTACCGGCCGGAGTGACACGCACTGCTTGATCAACTACATCAAGTCCGTTGGTCGAGTAGCCTTGGGTGAGAAAAATGTGAAAGTCTTCGAGATAGTCGTTGTTGATAGGCCCGTCGAGGATTACATCGTGAGCGCGTTGAGGGTATCTCGTCATCCGTCCCATGGCAGTAATAAGTTGAATCAACTCGGCTTTGCATAGTGGCTTTAGGAACTCCCTCCTGGCGAAGGACAAGAATGGTTCGGGAGCTAAGTCCTTGTCAGGCATATTTAACATGCTTCGATCTTTTCCCGGCTCGATGGAACATCACGGGATCTAACGCTTGCCGGTTCTGGCCCAAACCTGAAGTGATATTCGGAGAACTGGTTTGGCTGGGCTCGGCGTCGAGGCTATCATCAACACCGTTCTTGCCTTCCAATCTACTATTTCTTCCTTTGAGTTAGTGGAGTTGCTTAGAAGATTGAATGTGACTGTTTTTGATGACGTACAAGTAGAAGTAACCGCTTAAATCCGCGTCGGAATTTACAGTCTTTCCGTGGACACGGCCCAGATGAGCACGGAAATTCTCGTTTCTTCTCCAAATTTTCGGTGGACGACTTTTCTCCTTGGACCACAGTAGGGACAGGTGTACCATTTTCCGGGTGAAGGGAGCTCGGAATGAACGGTCGTGAGTGCCGCCGGAGATCAGCGTTGAGCCAAACCCGTCCCGTGACCTGCCACAGCCAGAATAGGGGCATTTGAAAGGCTTTTCGTGAATCCTGTTATGTTTTCTGGCCCGTGTTGAGTGCGCCATCTGAAGCTCATGAGGATTAAGCGCTCGCATCGGTAAACCCTGGGATTGATCGGTATAGACGGAAAGCAATCGACGGCGCAATCGTCGGACAAAAGACATTCGTCTTTTCTCAATGCAGTGACGCGAAGTGCCTGCTTCTTAGTAGGATGTAATTGTAAGATAGAGAGTGGTAAACCCCATTCTTCCCGAGGCGAGCATTCCATTTACAGGTGAAAAGGAGAAGGCCGGACTGTTACTTGGAAATGGTAAGTAAGGAGGCTGCAGATGAAGTGGTCACTAGAACGGTGGCAGACAGGATTCGTTTCACGGCTTCCGCCTTCATCGAGTGGGCATCCTGTATGTTTGATGAACCTGCAGCCGAAAAACGGATGGTGTGTAGCTGGAGGCCGGAAGTGCTTCCGGTTAGCTAGCCAACCACCAATGGTGTCCAGGACGCTGCAGGCTTGTTGATGGGGGCTGACGCGTGCAGAGAAATTCAAATTGAGTGTTCTCGCGAAGAGAGGTGCAAGTGATGAATTGATTAAGTTCCTTAGATTCTTCCTCCTCCCTAACAAAAGTGACTTCTTATAGTTCTGTCACCTGTGGCTGCCTTGTGGTGGCGATGTCGCCACCCTGGCCGCCTAGATGACGTTGTCGTCTAGAAGGTTCGATACCACCGCTTAACAACAACATTATTCATCCTTCTCAGTCACCTTTGCTAGAGTCAGCCCGATTAGGTAACCTTCGGACCTAGATCGTTAACCCGTTTTCACGACAAGTGTAATACCCTCAGCTGGGACACCGACATGAACCGCACTACCCTATCTCAGCAGGCGGCATCGACCAAATGAAAAAACAGGTCCCCATTCGCCTCTCAATTGTCACTCAAGCCGATCGAGGTGTAATAGTTCTCGAAATGTAATTAAAAGACAGTTTCACGGCCTTCATGGTTCGTTCTTGCCGTGGCATCTTCGTCTATATCCTCAAACTTTCACTCGCATACCTCTCCATTTGTTGAAAGCCCATCTCCTTCGCTATTTCTTTAGCAGATTGGAAAAGTCGACGCTGCGTGTATTAGTTCCCAATCGATGCTGTTTGTGAGAGAACTTACAAATGCGTCCTCGGTCTTAACGAGATCAAAATAGCTGTCCTCGTAAAGGCTGTACCTGTGAGAAATCTCCATGTGCTTGGCCACCTGGTATGGGGGGTCTCCTCCGAGAGTACCTGGGGACCCAAGCTGTCCCTGGAATTGTGCAATCGCCTGGAGATCCGGATGTGATAGCTCTGCTGAGCACTGTTGTGCAAACTCGCCGGCTGTCCCGGTATTCCCTTCAACTTCCTCGACTAGTCGCCGAATAATTCCATACACAGTCATCCGGAAAGCGATTGGAGGGATCTCTAACTGTATTCCAGGAACACGTCTAACAGCTTGATGAAGATTCTCGACGTTGGGGTTGATGGTCTCTTGGATACGTGCCGTCTCAGGCTTGCGCTCACTTGCAGTATTCGACTTATCTGCAGTAGTGACTAACACCCCTATTCCTTTCACTTCAGCCAATCGCCAACTGTCGTCATGATAAATCACGAAGTCATTCTTACCATCGTCCTGAAAATGGGGCCGTTGAGCGGCTGTGGTGACATCGGAGTGAAAACCGGGCTGTTCCTGGGTAGCCGAAGAACCATTCGAACTTGCGGAGGCGCCGAAAGGAGGAGATTCGGTTTGCGACATCGTCTTCCAGAAGGTCGAGTGTATGGTCAAGGCTGCGAATAGATCATGTAGTTGGTAGGAGCATTGGGAAACACTACACTCTGGACAGGCAAACATCCACACCGGCGGCCTAATTTTTGATGGCGCCTGACAAGCGGAGGATGGGACGGGGCCCAAGTGCAAGGCATATCACAAATGGCGGCTCCGGACCATGTTTATGCCCTGACCGCACTGACCAGAACCGACAGTCAGGGTGCCCGGCTGCCCTGTGCTGAACAGGAACGAGACTGCGCCTGTTAATGCATACTTTTATGAATCGAGTTACTTGAAAGGAGCTTGGAAGTATCGCGACATTTCGCATTTCCACCCTATGGGGCGAACCAGTAGGCTCTCCTTGTACCCTTGCTACGGGCGGAAGCATCACCAGAAGCTAGTAACGGGTCCAAGCCTGCAGAGCAAATAGACCCCAGGCCGGCCACCTTACCAAGTTTTCCCAACAAGAGGAGTGGCGAGTCGGTTGGTCAGTTGGACCACGTCCTGGGAGCCGCTCACTCCGATGCAGGTCTTACAGAGGTTACATTTTTCTTCCAAGGCTGATGCCGAGGAGGGCAACCGTCCCTTGTCCTGAGGCTTCGTACGCTGAAAGCTTTGCCACCTCCCGACCTTCCCATGCATATGCATACATATTGCCACTTGAGGCCAAGCCGAGGGAAGAGAAATCAACAGGCAGAGTCCTGCGTCACGCTAACCCCCTGACCCCGCTGCAGGAGAGCTGCGGGCCGGTCTGCATCATGCGGATGAGGCGGTCCGCCTAGTCACTCTTCGTCCTAGTGCCTATTCGGAGGTCGGCTGCTGATGGATGTGAAGAAACCGCGGATATGATCGGCGCGTAGATGCAGAAGCTGGGGTGTCCTGGTCAAGTACTCGAGCTGACTGTTACGGTAGACATTCATTCCAGGGGTGGCTCACAAGCATCAGCCAAGCAACAGCGGACTACCGCCCCAAAAGAGGAATAAGGCTCAAAAGACAGCTGGCCGAAAGATGCCATGGGGTGGCCAAAGTTGCACTGCAGAGAATGTACGGGACGATTTGCTGGAGCCCACAATAGGAGTCACGGAAACGCTCGACTAGGACAGCTCGTCGCAGTCGCGTGGAGGATAGAGAAACTTAAGCACCGGTCCACCCGGTTTCCTCGGTCCCCCCATCATTCTCGTATTCTTGCACTCTCAGAAGGCCAATGAACGGCAGAATCCCACAAAGAACCTCCTGCCTGCCATGTCGACTGACTCCCCTCTCGATGATCCAGGAGTATACGGATACGGAGTCGATTGCATGTGGACAAACTGGCCAACTGCGTGCTCTCGGAAGGCTTCTATGTCCTGAATCGCCAACACCAGAGGTTTTAGAGACCGTGACCCAATATAAAGACGCGAGCCGTGGCGACAAACGTGCGCAAGATGAGATTGCAGAGTCACCCACAACCGACACGCAGCCGACACTGGCACCAAGCGATCTTCGAGAGGCTGATCACTCTTCCTCTCGTAGCGACGGGAAGGAGAACTGTTCTCCTGGACTTGCATTCCAGGTCACTTTGTTCAGTGCCTGCCATCGAGTAGAGGCCCACGGCTCCATCGATGGCGGACAAGACGAAGAAGTTGCACTGGATTTCACTCTCCTCATCGAAAGCCAGTTAATATCACCATGAGATTTTGTCAGTATTCTCCTCGAGGGTCTTCACAACATACCAGGCAACGCAAGCAGAAGGTCCATGACGGAGTCTCCCGGAGGATCGGTGCGGAATTTCAAGCGCCTCAGCGAAGATGGCAAACTCCTGAACCGGGGCACAGAAGGCAACGAGCCTACAGGTCACAAAGGAGCAAGCAAGGGGCCTTGCGAGCCTTCCAGAACAAACAAACGTATTGATTTCAGATTAAGTGTCTTCACCAGCCCCTGAAATGGTAATTGCCCTAGCTGCCACCTCCAATAGATATCTGTTCCACGAACCAGCGTTGCCTTCGCTTGCCTTCATGTGAGGACCCTCGGAAATTGCCTCAAGTTCGGCGTATCTTGCAATACGTGCTGACGATCGAATATGGTGTCGGTTGCGAATTTCCCTTGCTGCCTTTCCCACACGAGACCAAATCGAAGAGAGTCAGGCAACCCATTCGCGAGCATGTTATGACGAGTCGTTCGTGGCGATAGAGGTGCTGCGGCTTTCCCACGGTCGCATGTAGCTAGAGTGTCTTGCACATTGGATCGGGGCGCCTCGCTGCTGCGCTTGTCAGAGGTTGCCTGTTGCTTTCTTTCACTCTCCAGCCCAAGTGTAATGAGTGATTGTCGCTGCCCTGTCCTAGGACGGGGTGCAGTACGCTGGAACAGCTGCGAGTCCATGATCGGCTCGCCACTATCATCAGAACTGTCGTCGTCGGTAGTCCACTCGTCGCCCCCATTTTCAGATAGACTTAATGCTTCATTCGTGCATGTGGGCAGGGCACATCTGGACGCCTGAACATCTTCTATAACGTGAAGGTCGGAGCCGGGCGAGCCGGGCGTCTTGAGCAAACCCTTCTTCGAGTCCGAGGAAGTCCTTCTTTGGGACATGTTTTCAGACGACTGGTGGAAATTGGTGTAAAATAAGGTGGGAACGTCGGTCAAGGAGAGTGTCGCTGAGCTGAGGTCATATATACGAGATGATATATGCGGAGAGCAAGGCTTTCTTTAATACTTCGGAAGGCACCTTTGCGTCGCACTCTCAAACATGGAAGGATTAGTTAAAGTGTTCACGTCAACCCGAACGCGGCATCTGCGCGTTGCCCAAACTTGGGCTGCTCGAATTAGTAGAAGTAGCCTTAGGTAGCGGATGGCAGTGATGTGAATTACCGTCGCTCTGATCGAGTGCCCTCAGGAGATACCAGGTGCTCCGTCGACCGTTTAGTACCGGATTCTGCCATTACAGACAGTTTTATATCCACCTTCTTATCTACAAGTCTCCTCTGGTGATCTCTTATCATACTGTCTAGAGGTACTGCTGGCATGAATAAAATCACCAGACAAAGTCCACACTGACCTCCAAACTGGTGTCTGACCCAACCAGTCACAGAACACACTAGGAGCACCGATGATGCCAGGAACACCAAGCCACTCACTGCTCCAAGCCACGGTATCCCCTGGTTTGACGTCGGCCGCTCTGGCTGAGGCTGGTTAGAGTGCTGGCCATAACGACGGAAACACTGTGTCTTCCTCCATATCGCCAGAACCATAATACCGGTGGTCAAGTGAGACACCATTGGAGCAGCCCACCAGTATTCAACACCAGATCGCCTAAATTGCCAGACGGTTGCCCCAACAAAGGGAAGGTGAAAGACTAGTACTAGTCCGAATATGATGATTCTCGCCTTAATGGAGGGTCAGGCTCGACGGCGCCGCAAAAATAGGCATAAATCAAGGGGTCGACGACTTGAATAAGCTGTATTCCATGAGTACCTGGAGGAGGTAATTAGACGGCCTGAAAGGGAAGTACCTCGATGATGTCGACGCATAACATGGTGACCCCTTTCCAGGCTGTGAAAAGGGGGTAGGCAAACGCGCTTGGTAGGAGTGCATCTCTCGCACTGCCAAACAAAGCGGCGAATATTACTCCGGCACCCAAGAGGAAACAAGTAGTGGAAATCAGTGCCCAAGTTCGCCTACGCGAAGCTTCTCGTGGCTTAACTCTGATCATCCAGTACAGGTAGGGCGCCAGGAAGACCGTGGTCACGGCAAACACGACACCAGCCTCGCTGACCTCTTTGGTTGTAATCTCGTCTTGCATGTCGAAATGCGGCAACCTGGACTGGTGGAGAAAGTGGAATGAGAGCTTGGAGTAATGAGAAGGCACATGAGCACCGGATTTGGCTGGAACGAGACGTGCATTATATGACGTTGAAGTCATAACAGCGAATATTGGTATATAGCAAGTAACGCTCGGGTGAAGAGAGCCGCAGTGCATTGTCCGGTCGACTGACAAACGGGAAGACATACCTAGAGTAAGGTGGTGATGGGTGCTTTGTGCATAGTAAGGTTACACCATTATTGCCTTGAAACTGGGCTATAGACTATAGTTGATACGGTGATTTACATATGTAAGGCGGGTGAGCTTCGTCCATATTGAAACGGTGTGATCAGGCCAGGGTTGGCGGAACGGAACGTCTTCAACTGGCCATTGCGTTTGGCCCCGGTTACGAGGCCATCCAGTAGATTGGCATCACCAGCAGTGCATACGACCTGGTTCATGCACTTTGGCTTGCATGCGTCCAAGTCCCCTTGACCAGGAAAGTCGGGACGCCATGGGCCTGCGCAGAGGGCACCTTGCCCGGGTCCGCTGTCAAAAGAAATGTGGCCGTGACGACACCATAGGCTCTCGAGTGGAGATGGACCAAACAAAGAAGGTCAAAGACACGAGCAAAGGTGTCGTTGCGCCATTCTACATCGGGGTTTGTGAGACAACAGCGCGGCTGTGGAACGCGTGACTCTCAGCTGTGACGATTCCGCAAGTTGGGCTTCGTAACGGCTCGTACTGCTAAGAACCTGGCTCTCACCCGGTGGTCCCTGATCCCGGCCTCGTCGGGGCTGTTGGTCACGAACGTTAAGAAAAGGCAGGGTTATCAGACGGGAAGGGGAGGAACACAGGATAGATCACCGCGAAGAAAAATGTAACTAGCTACTTGGCGATTCCTCCGGCTTGTTCGTCTCCTCAAGAATCATCTCCATCGCCCTTGCTAAAAGTGCTTTGCCCTCATCGCTGTCTAACTCATGAACAGAACACCATCCTTGACCTTCAATAAAACCGCGCTCGCACCGCAACTTGCTAATTTGACAAATCTTCTGAAGTCTTCCTGCCAAATTCCGCGCATACTTCTTTCCATTTCGGCGCTGATGCTCTTGGGAGCAGGAATGCCCACCCCGCACCCAGCCTGAAAGGCCCCAAAAGTTTCTATCTTCGCTGAGCCTTCGGCAGTACCAATAATGGAGTAAAGATGATTCATCTTCGAGGTTGTGGAAATTATCGCGGAGTCTGTTGCCCTGCACGCACGTCCTGCATGTTTCGGTGATAATCTGAAAAGGTTGGACTCCAAGTCGGCAGGGCTGGTTATGGCTGCACTTCTTCTGTTCAACGTCGTTAAGGTGACCGCACCTAATCGAGCCTTGGGTGATAATATGTGATGCCATCGTTTTATTGCAGGTAGTTTGACAACGCCTGTTTGGGCTGCAGAAGACTTGTATTGGTTATGAGTGTGTTTATATGGGTCATTCAATGCCTAATATGTGAGAGATCCAGCTTCATAGCTGCCGGCACTCTTTCTGAGCCTACGATTTTAAGAGCTAATACTTCACCTAGAAGCTGTCGTAAGACTTGAAGTCTCATTACTATGCTATGTCGTTGGCGGTATCACCTGCGGCACCCATGCAAGGTGCAGTGCAAGCTTGGTAAGAGGTCAATCTGGTAAGTTTCGGCTGCTGCAGAGAGCTACTGCATTGACCCACAACGAATGGTTATAATGACTTGAGCTGGCCTCCGCGGTGTGTGTACCTCAGGGTAAGATATTAGTCCGCGGCGTTGGTGTAGGAATGTGGCTCCCACACCAAGGGTGCAGAGCCAACGTATAGAACGTACGCCAAGAAGGGTCACGACGCGGCACAAGTCACTTTACGGTGACGCGTAACAGACCCCTACGCGCTTTGTAAACAAAGGGTTTCCTAGCCCGCACCGGTACCTACTTAGGATGAGCTTTCAATACACACCACAAGACTCCTAATGTGCGCATCCACATAACTGTGACAGCCTCCCAGCGCTGAGGCGGGACATAACATCCCGCTGTCATATTAACAGGCATTCATTCAGCCCGAAGGGCCTATACCTCATCGCAGTCCTTTTATTCATGTTGGGATGCACTTGAAGATCGCTCAACGCACTTACCGACCACCATCCAGGCCCCAAACGCTGTGAAATGTTACATTAATACAAAGAGTAGGTGAAGAGGTGAAAACAAGAAGTGCGCGAACATGGATCACTACATGTGGTGAGTCCCCTCATCTTAGAGAGCAGGGATCACGGCTTGTGGACGCCGTGGCCCTTGCTCGGGTAACAAAGGATGCTCGTGCAACGATTATGGCAGGATCACAGCCTGTGGTATATTTATTGATAACACGTCATCCCCTCGTACTGTATCTGGCCAATCAATCATCTGATGAGGACGTACGAGTAAGCTTTCCATGGACTTAATTGAGGCTGAGCGTCCAAGTCGCCGTGACTTCATCCTGAGAGAATGAAACGAACTCGTCCTTCAACCGGCCAAGATCTGTCAGTCAATCGCCCGTGAAATTGAAAGAGTGAGTCGCAAAGACATCAGCCATTCTACTACCTATTAGATGACCAGCGACGAATCAACCCCGCCCTTGGAGCCTAGCGTTCTCCCCACCGCACGTAGGGCAAGTATTTCCTTTGACCTTGCCCGTGTCGCGGCAAGTTTCGCAATCGTACATATTTCCGTATCGGCAAGTGAAGGGCAGAGTGTGTAGTCGTCAATATGATAAAAATCAGGTCAGAGACAGTGTAAAAGATGCTATGCGGAATAACATTCTCAACTATCTGTCGCGATGAAGTCGCCTGTTTATTGATTCCAAATGGACACGTCACGTTAGCCCCTCATGTGATCATTCTGCCTTCTGGGCAGCAGCTTTTTGGTTCGTCACAATGAAACTTTCACGTGACAATAAGCCCCATCCCATCCACTTGTCCGTTCTACTAGATTCTCTTAGCTTCCAGCCATGGCACGTTAATAGCCCCGTCGACAGCATGGCAAAGAGATCCGTCAGCACCCAAAGTGTACTTGCTCCGCTTTCTTTCTAACGAGCGACGGGTTGAATGCTCATCTAGAGGAGAACCGAGTATGTGGCCTACAGCTAGTCGGTGCCTTGCTAACTTTTCTCCAGTCGCTGGCAGGTTACTTGTCTGCTCGTCTCGAAATATGCAGAAGTCATGCTAAGGCATCCGACGGCGACGATTCACCGACCGGGGACGACGACGCGTTTGGGATAGACAAGGGCAATACGGACAAGCAGCACCGTTGCCCCGTGAGGGTGCGATCGCAGAGTCACCCCATTCGCGTCGCGGCAAAGGCTCCGGCGCCATTTCCAACAACGTAAGTGCTCGCTTTCTTTCTATCCGGCGACCAGATTTTTAACACTGTATCCCAGATGTCAAGTGTGACGAGATATGTGTGTGTTGCCATCAGGTGTTGAAACGTGCAAGGGACTATATACGGCATGTCCAACGACACCAGGACCCGAACAAAACGAAGCTTACCTGCCACCGAGACGCGCACGAAAATACCAAGCTTGCATACATAAATCAGATGTGTGACGAGCTGCGTGATCGGGCGGATAAAGAGCTGGAATCTGCAGAGAACAGTTACCATTCGGCCGGCGAAAAATTGACTAAGAAGAGAGAGCGACATGGCTGGTCTCGACATCCAAGCCAGAGGATCCCAAATACCCCGGCACAACATCGCTGAAATGATACCCCAGAATCACTCGCAATTTCCATGTGCCAATGGTATTTGCCCTGCCAATCCTTTTCAACTGAGCTGACATAGTGCAAGGTATTCCCACCATCCACGAGCAGCCGTCTGATTCCACTCAACTATCAACAAGCACGATACATCTTGCACCAGGTGCCGAGCCTGTGACAGGTTACTTCGCAACATTAACAGATACACATCTCGCCAAGTCTGTTGAAGGATCAGCCACAATACTGGACGACTTGATATTCGATGCTCCGGTAAATTGTATTGTAAATTTCCCCGACTTCATGGAACCATGGGCTGGATTGGCTCAGCAATAGTTTAGGATCCGTGGTACTGGCAGAAGCAGGGAGGTCATGGGTCCGAACTTCGGGGAGGGTCCTCGAACTCAAAGTTGATTCGAATATTGGAACTCTGCATCCCGGCCACCTTCTCTGCCAAACCAGGAGTATTTGGAAGAGTCATTTTAGTCCAACGCTCGAGTATGTCGACTGTCGCAAACTCGAATGTAATCGCATAGCCTCTCTTAATCTCAAAGCCGATCCGCCCATCGAGGACTGCTCTTTGCAATCCATCAGCATGTGTGGTTGCAACATTGGGAGGTTACTCACATGCCGCCGCTTGGGAACTCTTCCACTTTGCATCTGCAACCCACCTCAACAAGCGCAGATTCCGATAACTCATGCAATAGCCTCTTCCCTTCCGTTGTTGGCAACTCATGTTCGTGCGAATGACTCCAGTAGCCAACTTGGGTTCCTTTGGCTAGCAGATGGACCAACAGACGGCGACGACCAGCTTTCGGGCCCCACTTCTAAAGCACACAATATGGCCTGGATACGCTTTGTATCTCAGCCAGTGTGCAAGGATGCAGCCTCATCGCCAAAGAATGTTTCGACAATCGAGCGAATGCGCTGGTACGATTAGATACATCTCATTGCACAGGTTATCCTACTCACCTCATTCAAAACGTGTTGCTCGCAAAAGTCGAGACCGTATTCCGAGTTGTACGGGAAACCCCTCCTTTGCATCTCCGAAATGGCCTCCCCTAGAGCCGGATCCTGTACATAAGAGAAACCCTCTTCCATGAGGGATTTCTTCGCGACCTCCGGCGAGATTCTGGTCGAGGCCATAGACAAATGTAGAAATTCTTGATCAAAAGGGTTGTCGATGATCGGTCGAAAGGCAAAATCGCTTAGTGCAGCCCAGTTGGTAAGCGGGAACCGGCGACCCGACCAGGAAAAGCTGTTTTTCCCATCGCCGTCAGCCCACAGTTAACACCAGTGAGTGTTTAGCCTAACCTGGCAGGGACCACAAGTCGTGGTTATGTACATCCAACAAAGTGGGGCGTGGCACGCGGGTGGGGATTTGTTTTTCCGACTCTCTCGTTGGCCCAAGGATTTCACCGAGTCTCTTGGCTGCGAAGGTTTTAAAACCATTTTTTCCCTTCCTTCCACTCCAACCGATCCAAATGCGCCGTGACGCCCGCGACGCCCGCGACCCGCTTGTCCTACCTCGACCACCACCTGGCAAGGACGAGGCTAGTCGTCATGGCGGACCCAAATTGCTCAAATATCATAAAGGACTACCCCATTGCAAATGGCCTCGACGCTTTCCGTGCTTCGTTTAGTTCGATCTGCGAAGCCAGGCATGTCCCGCGAGGTCCAGACGCGCTAGAGCGTCTTGGTCAAGAAGGTACCTCCCCCGGCTTTTGTTTTCGCTGCAAGGTCTGTCTAACTGCCATATAGACCTCCAGAATATTGTTCTCGACCTTCTCTCTACGTTACAGATTCATCCAGCTGCTCGACTGCTCCGTTCTACCGGAGATGGTAAAACCCTCTTCGGCGATTTGTTGCAACTCAATTCCGCTGTCAACTCTGGCGAGTTCGACTTCGACCGTATCAAGCCGCTTGTTAAATCGGCCCTCGCCGACATTCCTGATGACATACTCATCTGGATTCATGTCTATCGTGCCGTCACCGAATCTACCCCGCCTCCCCGACCTATATCTTCGTCTATCCAACAAACACCGTGGAGCCAGAATACAAGCGGCTTCGTGAACTCGTCGGAATTCCGCCAGAATGTGGACCCGATCCTCAAGTTGGAGCTCGAACGTCTCTATGTCGGACTTCCCAAGTTCCACCAAACCTTCTTTGCAGACGTGCCAGACCTAGACATGGTTTCTGAGGCCGTCTTCCGCAGGTGTATTGAAGGCGATAATCCACTCTTTAAAGAGGGATGGAGTGGATGGCCTGCAGGCGCCAGAGAAAACGACGTACTGTCTTGGTTTGGCAGCTTAATCCCGAAGCTGGAAGCGTTCGCCAGCAATCACTCCGACTCCGGCGCCACGGCGAAAGCTGTTGGCACAGCCGAGGACACCACTGCAGGGCTCCACAGGCAAACGCAGCCTTGATATCGGCTTTGTCAATAGCGACATCACGTACAAGCCTGACTCTGAGGATTCGAGATATCGTTGGTCTCACATCCTTGTTGCTGGCGAACTGAAAAGCAACCCGAAGGCCGACACATCATCAATTGCGTGGATTGATCTCGCAAGGTATGCGAGAGAGGTACTCGCCGCTCAAGACACCCGTCGCTTCGTCTTGGGCTTTACTCTCTGCGGATCTCATATGAGGTCTGGGAGTTCGACCGACTTGGGGAATCGCCTCCGAACAATTCGACATCAACAAGAAGGATGGTGGGTTACAGTTTGTGACCGCAATCCTCGGGTTTCTACGGATGAATGATGAGGTGCTTGGGTTTGACCCTACCATTGTCATGTCCAACGGCGAACGGTATATTGAGATTGAACGTGATGGCCAAACAGCGCGTCTCATCATTGACAAGGTCATGAAGCGTTCCTCCTGCATTGTTGGTCGAGCAACAACGTGTTGGAAAGCCCATTGGGAAGAAGACCCTGGACGCCGCTCGTTATCAAGGACTCCTGGCAGTACACGGACCGAGACGAAGAGGTATACTTGTCCAAGAAGCGACTGAGAAAGGCGTCATCAATATTGCCCGATACTACCATCACGAGACCGTTCGCGTCCACGGTGCGGATGATGACGTCCAAAACAATGTTCGAAAGGGATTGGACATCACCAAAGCCACGAATTATCGACCAGGACGTGCGATGTTGCCGGCGGCGAGCGCGTCCATTGTGTCGCGCAAACAGTTAAAGCGGCGCCGGCGTGAAGCGACCGTCCAGCGAAACTGACGCCGCTCTGCCGCCGAGCAAAAGATCCGTTTCAACATCTCCGGTCAAGGCAAGCGTCAAAGCCCTGTCAAACCGTGTACACCGGCGGGGCATTCTTCGTGACTATGGAAAAACGATATACAATGCAAGTTCACCCGTGGCGCTACTTGCAGCGCTGGAGGGCTGCATAAAAGGTCACCAATCCTTGTATAAAGCGGGCTTTCTTCATAGGACATCTCCATCAACAATCTCATGATCAATGAGGACGATGAAAACCCTCCCGAGAGTCCTGATCGACCTTGACCTCGCCATCAAAACTCAACGAGAAGGTGCTTCGGGAGCAAAAGGAAGGACGGTACAAGGGCATTCATGGCCATCGGAGCACTGCTGGGCAACGAGCAGCACTCTTTCATGCACGATCTTGAATCATTCTTCTGGGTCCTGTTCTGGATATGCATTCACTATGACGGCCCGAATAAAGATGTCGGATCAACTGAGTTTGACGATTGGAATTACCAGAACGACAAGCAGCTGGTTCGTTCCAAAAAGGGCGTAATTGATGACGAAGACGATTTTCTCAAAACTGCGGAGGAAGTTTTCACACCATACTACCATCCGTTAGTTCCATGGGTTAATAGATTGAGGAGGAAGGTGTTTCCAAACGGTGAAAGGTGGAAGAAACCGGCGCCGGAGCTGTATCAAACAATGCGGGACATTCTTCGTGAAGCACAGAAGGATAGGGGGTGACAGGCACGTATCCTGGAGCCACAGACGAACGATAGACATTTGTGCTCGCGATTGGCAAACAATGTCAACGACAGGTACTGGGTGGTGATCGGTGAGCTTAGCCTTCCTTAGTTACCTCAATTCCTGTTTATTATATCACGCCCATAGCTCAACGATGGAAGAGGGCCAACGTCCTGTCTATTTTAAGGAGGGTTAACCATCCACCACTTTCTACTATTCATCCACCAACAAGGGACGTATATGTGTGGCTGATCGCCGTAAGTGTACACCACCAATTTGTATGTATGCGCTCCCGACTTCCATCTCTGAGCGCATAAGCAAGGTTGGCTACCTGCAAATTCAGCTGATACTGTCCACTAGGGTCGACTCGGTGATGGAGGCTGGCTGCCGTGCGTCTTTTGGGGGGTGGGGGCCTTTGGCTGCGCGGGGTGGAGTGGAAGGTGCTTGCTCTTCCGCGAGTCGCCTCAGTGATGGATTGGTTGGCAGTTGCGAGTGTGCGGTATATTGGTATTGGGTTTCACGGCGGCGGGTTCGGTCTTCACCGCGCTGGCGGTCCGTATCGTGCAGACACGGAGGATCTCGTGGTGGGAACTCTGACAAGCTGAACGGTGCCGATGGGACCTCTCCGATTCGAGATCCCCAAGGTTCGCCGAACCTCTTCGGGTGAGACCGTGACTGGGTGTTCTCGCGGCATTCTGTACGGGGATGGCCAGAGTGCGCAGCCCTCGAGCAGTGCGCAAACTGCCTCGGGCCACATTGCGCTGATGACCTAAATGCCCTGCCCGCCCCAAGCGCGTTCATGGCATTGTGGCGCCTGACGAAAGAGAGAGGGTCTGGTGAGGCAGGCGGGAGCTCAGCTCTTCGCGCAGCAGAAAGACAGAACGCAAACCACAACGTGCCCGAGCAGTCTTGTCAGAGCCCTGATTCGAGTCAGTTACGTTCTTCAGGTCGCAGGCAGCTGGAGAGGATGGAAGCTCCGGCAGGCGCCACTCCAGACGAGCCGCTTCCTCACCCGCTTGCATTGTCGTGGCCACGACGCCGCCGCACGCTAGCGATGACAACCAGTTCACCCTGTCGTCCCGTCGAAGAAACGACGCACTAGCCCTGTGACGCTGCCCTAATGCATCACCATCATCCCAACAATCGAAGCGACAGGAGGGCCTTGCGAGTCTTCAAACCAACGTGGGCAAGATCCCTCCGGCGCATGACCTGCGCTCGCGCTGGCTGATTCGGGCGATACGACATTATCCTGCTGCAGGACCATGGACAGGACTTAAAGAC